TTTTTTTTAAATAATTTTTTTTGTCACTTTTTATACAGAATTTTGCTTCAATTTTTATTAATTTTTAACTATTTTTTTATTGGAAAAATAACAGAAGTTGTGAGTTTTGAGGCGAAAAGCAAAGAATTTAGAGAAATTTCTGTTAACAAGTAGGCAATAGGAAAATAACACGTTAAGATTTGGTTAAAGTCAGATTGAATTATCAATTTATTATCAATTTACTATATCCTTCGCAAAAGATTTTAATTTGTTAAGCTTAGAAAAACCGGTTTAGACGAGAATAAATATTTTGATTACAGTACTGCAGATAAGATTAGAATATGAAATTTTATACCGATTATTTGCAAAAGAAAAAAAAGTTTATTTGAAATTATTTGTTCAAGAAAAAAAATAAAACAAAAAAAATTTTTTTTATATGCTTTAATTAAAATAATTTTACAAATATCATTTTGACAATTATTTCAAAATTTTTTCTCGTAGATTTTTGTTGTTTATTGCTTATAATACTGCAAAAAAGTCTACAACTATCAATTAATTTTGTGGTTAGTTGGTACAACCACAGTTTCCTTTTTTTTTTTTTTTATTTTTAATAGATCAAAATATAGTAACTTTTCCAACTTTTAACTGGTAATAAACGTTAGAACGAACTAAACTTTAGTTAAAAATAAGTATTATATGACTCTTCTTCTGTTAGTAATTAATTAGTTCTTCGTTCTCTACATTTGCATATGATGTGGAAAAAGTTTTCTGACTGGACCTAAAAGTGCAACCAAATTTAGGTGTTAACTTTTTGGCTACATTTATTCCGCTTTTTCTGGTTGAACGCATTGGGCGTCGTGGTCTGCTATTGTTTTCGGCGCCCATCTTGGTTTTCACCCTCTGTCTTACAGCAACGTTCTTCTTGGTTAACAACACCAAGTCAACTCCTACACTTCCACTTGAAGCCACATATGGTGGTTATCAACAATTTACAGACGCAATGACAGTAATGTGCATGAAAATCAAGTATAACGGTCTTAAGCGGTTGATTTAGTGCTAACTTCTAGTCAGCTAAGGACTAAACAACTATATTTACCAAAAACAGCATAGAAGATCTTAGCTGCTGGCTTTTTCAGTTTTTTATGCCACAAAATTTGTAGAACTTTGCTATGATTACCAAAAATAAATTTACTTTTTGTTTCTTTATAAATGATCAACCTGATTGGAGTAGACATTTTGATTTTAGCAACTGTGATTCATGCGTTAGCAAAGAAGAATGTGGATTTTGCAAGAAAAAGCATGACGATTCATTCGGGTTAGTGTTATTTCTTCATTAATGCAGTTACAAGGCGTACAATAAAGTTTAGAATATGACGAGAAGGAGCTAAATTATTTGTTCCAGAAGTTTTTACAATAATACTGAGAAAATCGCGTTAATAATTTATTTTGTATTAAGCACTGTAAAAACTACAGCTATTCAGGTACTGTCTACCAATGGATAAAAATGTGTCGGTAGGCGAATCTCGGTCAGCCTTTGGTCCATGCGCAAACGGTTATAACAGAAGTATATTTGAATTAAAGGAAAAGTTTTGTGGTAGCCAGTTTACGGTGCCAACCATTATCTGCATTTGCTTTTGCATGATATTCTTTGCAGTTGGTATAACCAATATTTTTATTTCTATGATTAATTTTTTTTCGCTTTTAGCTGACCACAAAACCTTTAATAAGGTT